GTGTGCAGGAATTGGTGCAAAGACAGTTCATTGTCCAACATCAACAATGTTATGCATGTAGGAGCACTTAAAGAAATGGTTCATCCAAAATTGAAAATCGATTGCTCACCTTTTCACACTTTTTGTCTGTAGCATATAAAACATGATATCTTGAAAAACTGAAACCTAGCACCCGTTGACATCCATACAGGAACAAAAAATAACTATGGAAGTCAATGGCTGCAGCTTTACAGGATTGGAACGAGTGGAGAATGGGTAAATGATGACAGAAGTAGTTTTTTGGTATAAATTGTCCCTTTTAAAGTTTGGTCAAATAAGCAACATTTTAGGAAACAGATAATTTTTGTTCAGAGTTTGGCTATAGATGAAATCAGATGTGAAATTTACATGGGGAAATATTTTATCACATACGCAGGCCTACCTCATACGAAACGGCATGGAAGTTTTTTTTAATTATGTTTTAGCAAATTAGTGACTCAAACTTAAAATCTTAATAGCAAAACTTTGCAGAGAACAACTGCTTATTGTTAATCAACAGTTATTATCAACAGATGTTTGGACAGATTAGCAATGTTTTGATAAACTTTTGCAGTCAGAAAAGCTCTGTTGTCAATACTGTAGTGATGTCTGAATCACATCTTATGCAGAAGTCACTTTAAAGCAACGGTCTCAAGCTCAAATCCTAGAGGGTCTGCATAGTTTAGCTCCAACCATCTCCAACTTGCACCTGCTTAATAGTCTAGAGCATTGCTTAATTTGTAAATTGCGAGGTCACAGAACAGATTGGGGCAACAAATCCGGCAATCCGGGGGGTTTGGGGGGGTTGTGAGAGTGGGGGTCGGTAAGATGAGGTGCTGGATCAGATTTCAGAGGTGTCAGATCCGGCTTGTTCTGGCACAAGTCAAGCCCTAGTCTCTAGTAGCCTTGATCAGTTGTGTTTGACTAGGGTTGGAGCAAAACTGTGCAGAGCTGCGGCCATCCAGGAATGGGGTTTGATACCTATGATTTCAAGGTTTTTTTATTTTTAGGTTTTGTTTTTGGCCCTCACACAAAGCTCTGAAGTGCAAGTTTTTAACTTTTTTTTTTTTACTTGTCTTTATTGACTGGACAGCAGCTAGTCAGAAAGGAAAGTTAGAGAGAAGGGGGGGGGTTGTGAGAGTGGGGGTCGGTAAGATGAGGTGCTGGATCGGTAAGATGAGGTGCTGGATCAGATTTCAGAGGTGTCAGATCCGGCTTGTTCTGGCACAAGTCAAGCCCTAGTCTCTCGTAGCCTTGATCAGTTGTGTTTGACTAGGGTTGGAGCAAAACTGTGCAGAGCTGCGGCCATCCAGGAATGGGGTTTGATACCTATGATTTCAAGGTTTTTTTATTTTTAGGTTTTGTTTTTGGCCCTCACTCAAAGCTCTGAAGTGCAATTTTTTAACTTTTTTTTTACTTGTCTTTATTGACTGGACAGCAGCTAGTCAGAAAGGAAAGTTAGAGAGAAAGAGGGGAAGGGAACAGTAAAGATCACAGATCTGGGACTGGTGCCATTTGTAGGCGCACTTACCACTGCGAATAGCTACTAAACAGAAACTAAACTGCATGGAATTCTATTGAAATCATAGGTCTCAAACCTGATTCCTAGAGGGTCGCAGCTCTGCACATTTTTGCTCCAACCCGAATCGAACACGGATGATCCAAATAATCAAGGTGTTTAAGACTTCTAGAGACTATTAAGCAGCTGTGAGTTAGAGGTTTTTGGAGGTAAAATATGCAGAGCTGCGGCGATCCCAAGAATTGAGTTTGAGATTGATTTAAATAATATTGCATGTGAAATTTAGCCAAATAAAGGTTACTTTGAAATAAAATTCCTGAACCAAGTAGCTTTAGATTTGAAAACATGACATTCATTAGTTGAAACAAGGAATGGTGACATAGTTGACATCCATAAAGAACGTTCATAAGAATATGCTGCTTTTTTCCCTTTATTATATTTTCCTCTGTTCAGTAAAAGAAAGTTATGAGATGAAAAAAAACAGTTTGAAACCAGTTTAGGGTGAGTAAATGATGGCATAATTTTCATTATGGGTGAACTGTTATGTGATGCGAAATCAACATTGAGGAAATCTATTGTTTCATGCAAAATTCTCTAAATTTGTTAACTGACTGGATTTCCCATGATAATTTATTTAAAAAATGCTAAGGGTGACTAAACCATATTGTATGTATGATCTAATATTGTATGATCTGTTTTGCGTTAAGGTGCACAAGGGATATAACAGCTTCATTTGGTAATGGTACACCACATCCTGCAGGAACCAACGGTGAGGGCTCGACTGTCCGTTACTCGTTTGATATGTTTCGGTTTCTGCAAGAGCCCCACAGTTTCTACCTGCACTGCACTGTCCATCTCTGCACACCTGAGGATCAAAAGTCTTGTATTCCTGTAAGCAATTTTTAACCTGTTAGTTATGGATCGTTTTATGTAATCTGATTTTGACCACAGAAAAACAGTGTTTGTGATTTTTTTTTTTTTTTTTTCCCTCACAATTCAGTTAGAATAAGAGATTCAAATTTTCAAGAAATGTAGTCAATTATGAGATAAACTCTCCCATTCTAATGGGAAAATGCAATTCTTTACGCTGTTATAACCTGCCCTGCTTTATTTTCAGGAATGTAAAACTATATTCAAAAGAGAGGTTGCTGTGGATGAACAGGCTCAAGCACTTCTGTCTTATGGACCGATCAATGGAATTTTACCAGACAGACCCATGATAAGTAAGTTTATGAGCATTTTCCTTCATAAAGAGCATTGCAATATTTAAACTATTTGCATTTTTCCCCTCTTAGATCTTCTCACACTGGTCCTTCCACTGGGAGTGATTTGGACTCTGGGCATCTTCCTTCTCGTACTGATCATAATAGCTAAATCTGGAAACAGACGACACATGACAAATAGCTAAATAAAACATTTTCATGCACAACACATGGTGATTTATATTGGGTACATCACCTACCGTAACAGCTATTAGCCCTGGGTGAATGCTCCATAATGGACCCTTAATAAAAGTAATTTCTTTTTCTGCAAAATATGACTAAGTTAAAAGTACTTTATAATTAAGTTATAAAATAATTAACTTAATTACTTTAAGTTGCAGCATTCTCTTGGTAAGCACTGGAAATTTCAGTGACCCATATTTCATTTTGTGAGATGATAAAACATTTTTGCCCTTGCACAAAACTGTGAGGGAAAAAAAAGGTAACAACTAAATAAAGCACATTTCCTCCAAACACATTGTGGTTTATACTGGCTCAGCTCCCTTAAACAAACACAGGCTACTATATTAGCATGTTAGCCCTTGAACCCTCAATCGTCGTCGTCTTTGACTTTATTGGTGGTTGACAACCAACTTTAAAGGTGTATTACTGCCTCCTTCAAGACTGGAGTGTGGAATATGACTTAACCAGGAAAGATTTAAAACAAGATTTTTTTTATATCTCATATTTATGATTCAGACCTTTGTTTTTGAGATAATTTATAAGATGTTTAAACATTATGGATTCTTCTTATAGATTTTTTTAATATTAATATTTACATGGTTATTCTATTTGTTGAAACATTTATCTTCTTTCCTATATTTTCTACATTCCAATAATACATGTTACTGATTTCTTTACAGTTTTCACATAAACCTGTTGAATGCTTGCCTATCATGTAAAGTGTCTGGATTCGGTCTATTATGTCCTATTCTAAGATGGGTGAGAAGAACCTTTTCTTTTTGGTTTCTGCTCTTTATTCTGCCTTCACCGACTTTTTCTTGAATATTATATAAATATTGACCCCTATCATTTAGATCCCAGTATTGTTGCCATTTTCCCATAATTTGTGATTTAATAATACTCTTTCCCTCTGTTTTGCTTAATAGGATATTTAAATATTTTGCTTAATGGGGTCTTTTAAATGAAAATTTATCAACAGCTTATCAACAGCTTCATTCACAGCTCTCTCCCCCCCCCCCCCCCCCAAAAACAAAACAAAACAAAAAACAACTACATTCAAAGGCCTCTCATTTAAACTAAAAATTACCTTATGCATTTCATTAATAATATTGGTCCTTTATGATTTCATAGTTAATACTTAAAAGAGACGATCAGCTGTCTGTTGCAATTACCGCATCATTCCCTCTATTTGCCTGTATCCAATGTAGAGCTGTTAGAATTCTCAGGTTTACTGTACACACTGAAAGTATCTGTTGCTCTTTTAATTATTGGCAACTCAAACTGAGGAATATTGCTATTCCTGTACGTCGACTTTCTCTGGATCTTTAGAGCCATCTGTAAATGCCATGAGTTTTCCTCTAAACTGCTGTTTATATAATAGCATAAATCCCTTTTGTTATCTGTTAAAAATTATCCTTTATTTGTTGTTGAATGATAAGTCTTTTTATTGGTATCCTAAAAAACCAAGGGAGGTACCATGATGGAGTCGTACAGAAGTTACTTTTTCCAAACAAAGCAGATTTCTGTTGGTCGGTAGGCCTATACAATTTTGACTGACATTCATGGGTGAGATAATAAAATCTTTACGTCCTCAAAAACTTACAAACATTGCAGGATGTGTGAAATTTTGCTAAAAGTAACACCTAATCAAAGACATACAGCTCAAGTACTTATCTATGCATCTCAAGTAGGTAACAAGCTAACTTTTTGCATATGAGCCCTGAGCGAGCTTTCCTCTGTCTGTGAAGCAGCTAGTTATTTTAAACGATTTCCTGTGAGGTGTGATTTAGTCTTTACATTTACAGTACTGAATATGAACAACAGGTGGCAGTGAGATGTAACAATGACAAAATTCAGATTTGCTTAACTGTTTTTGTTCTCTAAATAAACCTATCTCTGCACAATTCCCTTCATCCATTTATTTTAAACGTACCAGTCTTACTTATACAACTATGAATATTATACATCATAATATAACAGATAAAAAAAAGTGGGCAGGGAATCGGGTGCGGCTGCATGCAGATCAGCATGAGATCCTTTCATGCACATATTTGGTGTCCTGCAAGCTGATCGAGGATCATTTCGAGGACGCCGCCTGGTCCTCGACACTTCCACTTGGGTTTAGCCAGGCGGCTGTTTATCAAAACAGATGCAAATATAACCAAGTAGTCTTTTTATTTAGTATTTAACGTTAACTTATAGATAGCTGCTGGTCATGCTAATGGTTTAGTTTACAAACGTGCGCGCGCCACTGGAGACCTTTACGAACTGTTTTACGGACACGAGCAAAAACTTGACGGGATTAGAGAAACACGGCGGGTTTGTGATTTCTAGAGGAATATTGGCTATGTTTTGGCGATAAAAACACTTGGTCTCTCAGGTTGCGCTTTAGAGGGTTGTTGGAGAAGGTGTGTTCGTGTGTCGTTTGTGTCCGGGTGTGGAGAGATGTCCGTCTGCAGGAGTCAGTCGCTGAGAGCCGTTTCTGTGATTTTCATCCTGCTGTTTGTCAACATCGCAGAAACATCTGCAGAAGATGAGGATTTCAATGCGGAGGTCAGTCTGTTTGAATGTTGTGTACAAATACTGAAGACGTGAAGCAAACTGGTGTTTATACATGTGGAGTTGTGAAATTCAGTTTGGCTACATTTTTATTTTGGTGTCTCTGGATTGGAAAAATGTGCGTTTTAGTTCCATATTCGAGAGGGAAAGCACACACTTAAACTTTTACCATGAATACATTATAGTCTGTATTTGACAAATCTTTGATTTACCTCATTTCAGTTCATTTACCGATAGTTTGTTTTCAACTTCAACTTTTTCAACAACAACAACAAAAAAAAAACTATTCACATTCACCAAAATCAGTGTTATATTTAACTAATAACTAACTGCAATAGTTATATTTTAGCTAGCTGATTAGCATTTTCCATTTCCATCTAGTTTAACTTTATGTACTTAACTCAAAGTCAAATAAAATGGTTAAAAACTAAAAGCATTTAAATAAAATATAATAAACATGTCAAACACATGAACAGAACAACTGAAACAAACTAAATGACTACAGTAACTTGTCATTAATCTAAACCTATACTGTTGTGTAGAAGTCTCAAAACCATACAGTATTTACAGAAAGCAAAAATAAAATTGTTATTGAAGATGTAAATTATAATTTATTCTACTTATTATTAGATACTATTATTGATTTTTTAATTAATAAAACCTAATGACATTTAACATTATTAGATTATCATTATTGTTAAAATTTTATTAATTGTTATGTTTACTTTATTTAAATCAAAATAAATTATATTTGATTACTATTACAATCCTTTTAAAAGATTTTAAAATGACATTTTTTAAGCATTAATTTGTTTGAAATAAATTCTACATCTTATTTTTCATTTATTTCAATCATCATCAATAATATTACTAACTAATACATTTTTTTTTTAAGTAAGAGCATATTTTTCAAGTGCATCGTAAGGTGTCATTGGGTTACGGTATTGCAGAAATCACAGAACAATAACCTAGACAGGAAGCTTGAGCAATAATGACTCCCCTGCTGGACATCTTCATATCTATCAAGTGTAAAAGATGTGTCTAAAGATGTTTACATCTGTCCTCACTCAACGCCTGGCCATATGGCTGGAGACTTGAGCGGGAACATATTCAGCTTAGTGATATTCAGACATTAACCAAACATAAGGAATGTGTTTCTTGTGCTTATGTTGTCTTTATGTAGTTATATGTAGGTTTATTTTATTACAGCTAACCATAACCGTTCTAATGCATAGTTGGGCAATTATAAAGCAGCTTGCATGATAATGTGAAACAGCAGGGAAAAAAAATTATATTTCACGTTTTATATCATCTTCGAATTTCAAGATTTTTGGCATCCAAAATACACTTTTAACTTTTACTTGTGTTGCGTTTTATTTTAAAGGCTGCTTTCACAATGAGTTTTTTTTCTTTAATAAAAGAATATTATATAAAAATACAACATTATACACAAATAAAGTGCATAAATACACTAAACTTCAGTTCGGTTCTCATGGCTTGACGCGTGTTTTTTTTTTCTATGGGCAATAGGAACAGTAAGAGGTTAAGGAGAAAAAAATAAAAACAATTTATTGCAATACTCGTTTTGTTTTACTTAAAAGCCAAGAAAAGAACACTAGTTCCTAGTGTATTGTATAAAAAAATGAACACTGAAATCTCACAGCTGCTGGTAGCCCATGTACAAACTGGGGAACACATAAATTCCTACACTTTGAAAATAAACACATGTGAAGTTCATAAAGATAAATTGGCCATTTCAAATAAACATATTTGTACTTCAGTAAACATCTTAATTATCTTGGTGCTGAAAAAATGCGAGACTGTAGTCTGTAATGCGGATCGTTATAAGATCGTTATAAATGTGCGATTATAAAATGACAAAAGCCCACTTCTCCAATCACTGAAAACGGCTGCAAATCTTTGGCAATAAACACCCGCACTGCCTTTGTTATTTTATGTGTCTCTCGGAACCAGTTGTGTATGTTTGCTTGAAAGAATCAGTTAGGGATTGTTGCTATTTGTAGGACTTTATAACCTCTGCTATCCTGCCTTTAGACAGTGATATTGCTGGGTGATGGCGCTGCAGATGTGCAGTCATTCTTATATGTGTAAAACAATGGTTGCACACAGTTATTTTTTTTGTTCACCATTTTTTCTTTTATTGGCATTATACTTATCGGCAAAATCGAAATGTCATCACACCGCTGATTTGAATGACGCCAGCGCTTCCTCGTACTGTTGCCTCATTTCGCAGGCACTTCCTTGTACTGTTGCCTTAGCCTCACTTCACCGCCGCTCGCCATGTTAAAGTGTGGAATGATGGTCAAGCGCCGCCTAACTTTAGAGCATAGTGATTGGATATTTACTCACGGTGAGGAGTTTCCTAATGTCAGCTCATGGACTTACAGGCACATAGTCAATTCGGGTAGATATAAAATGCACATAAATTATTTAAACGCAACACCAAGAAAACTCACAAGCTTCACAAGCGCGTATTGAACCATGGAGGTCGTACCGAACGGTTCAATATTATATTGAGAACCGTGGCATCCCTAATAGTATCTATATCTTGAAGCATTTTACCAAGTGATTTGTTCATGCACAGTTTGCCTGGTTATATGTCAAAAAATATGTAAAAAAAAATTAAGCTAGAAATGAATAAAATGAATTTCAAACTTGACCATGTTCATGTTTAAATTTATGTGCTAGAAATGTATGCTTTAATTCAATTGTATCTTTTTCTTGATTGTATTTATGAATTGTTATGCATGAAAAAAATACTTGCAATACACGCAAGTACAGAAATGCACTGCAAATAGCAGAGACCACATCGAAAGTGTGTCGGGGTACCCCAAATAGTTCATGAATTGTTTATTAGATTTCGATACACTCTTACTAAAAATCACCCCAATTGATCTAACGTTATACATTTTTAGATAGAGATAACAGGTCATCTGGTCAACTAGTATTCATATCGCAAAATTTTTAAAAATATTGCAATGTTAGAATTTTCCAATTTCATGCGGCTCTAATAGAAGACGTTATACAAAAAAAAATGTTAAACTAGAGTTAAACATTCAAATTTTACCTTTTAATTCAGCCTTTTTAATTCAATTTTTATATGTTTTCTAGGTCTACGTCTCATGCTAGGAACTACACTCTCATTCTGGCACAATCTGCAACAGGCACAATCATGTTACGCAGCAGCGCTATTAGTTACCTAGCTGGGGACTATTTTCAGGTGCTGCTTACTATCATTGTGCCTGCTCCAATTCAATGATCTATGCCAAGCTAAGGCTAAAAGTGCTGCCGCCAGACCCATATATTGGCTGCATGTATTCGAAAACGGTAAAACTCAACTGTTTAGCACCTATAAAATGAGCCTATTTTCAAAAAAAAAGTGAAGTTTTCCTTAAACGTAATTAATAAACTGGACAAGTACAGTGGTAGCTATTAATGTTAACTCATTTTTAGTGTCTTTTTTGCAATGGGCCTGTCCTTTTTTGTCTTTTGTGTTGTGTAACCCAGTTCTTGTAATGGTAGTTTGAATTGTCTGTGTCTGTTATAGTCTTGGCTGAGGACGTACGGTTACCTGTCTCAGGCCAGCAGACAGATGTCCACTATGCAGTCTTCACAGATCCTCTCAAGTGCCATCAGAGATATGCAGCGCTTCTATGGTCTGCAGGAGACCGGACACATGGACTCAGAAACGCTCAGGTATGATCTCTTCGCATTCAGCTGACCTGAGAGCAAAACCACTCAAAATTGATTGGTTGGACTGGGTCTGAAGTTAACAGTGTAAATGGGAAGATTAGTTACTACATTTTAAATACACTGTAAAAAATGGAGGGTTCCACACAATTCATTCATATTGTCCCAACACAAATTGATTAAGTTAACAACACTTTTACCAGATTTATGTGGATTGAACATAAAAAATTAAGTTGTCACAATGAAGTTTGAACGAGCAAAAAAAACATTTTTTTGAGTGTAGGTCAGATAGCTCTAACAAATATTGCTGAAATGTTAAAATGTTATTACTAAATGAGTATTTTGTACTAGACAGCAATGGCAATGACAACAGTGTTACTGTACTACTCTGTTATAAACTTATAAATACAACTAATTAATAAATAATGAAATAATATTTCTGCTGTATATCTTCTTTATTTTTATTGTTAGATCAATTAAAAAATGTTAAAGAAAATCCCTTTTGTTAAGGGAATTCATGCACAAATAATGTAAATATTAGATGAAAAATCAACTGAAAACAAAATGTCAATAATAATAAAAATTGTAATAAAATGATGCTACATTTTAAATGAGCATAAAAATATGATTCAATTATAATTAATAATAAATAAAAACATAACAGGAATTTTTGTAAACACAAAAATAAATGTTTTTATTTTATTTTATATATAATTTAGCTTGATTTTATATTTTGAAAATTGTCCTTTTATTATAATAATTATATTACTAGAATATTATAAAATGTTAATTTAGTAATAATTTATAGAAAATAAAAATTATTTATTACAGTTTGTAGTAAATAATAACAAAAATTAAAATTAAAAAATCTAAATTGTAAATGTAAATTATTTAGTATAACATTTTTATATATAAATATGTGTGTTTGTAATTCTAAATAGAAATATCAATTATTTTATAAATTGTAATATTACTCAAACAATTTTGCACAGTAAAAAAAAAAAAAATATATATATATGTGTGTGTGTGTATATATATATATATATATATATATATATATATATATATATAAAATACTGCATTTCAATTTACTTATTTACTACATTTTTAAAATGAGCACAAAAAACAATAAAAATCGCAACAATTTTAAATGAACACATTGTAAACATCGATGTAAAACATTTGTTTTTTATTTCATATATAATTTTGCTCGATTTTATATTAGATTTTTTTATTATAATACTTCTATAATTATATTATAAATCTTTATTGTACTGCTAAAAATGTGTAGCAGCTAAACTATTAACAGTATATAGTACTAAACACAAAGATATTTTTTAAAATAGCAATGCAAGTTAATTAGTAAAACATTAATATTATTTAAAAAAAATCCTACCAAATATAAATATCAATTATTTATAAAATGTATATTGATTATAAACAATTATAAAAAAATCTGACATGGCGATGTTTAGTTTGTCTGCTATATTTATTGCAATATGAATATAATTTCACAAGATGACTTATAACTCTGTTTATAATTAACTCCTGATTTTACATTGATTGGGATAGTTTTGTAGAGAATTATCTGCATAAAATACATTATAAATGAACGGATGCAGATTTTTATGGTTTTCTGTGAAATCTAACAGTATTGAGGTTCAGAAATTCAAGAATAATCTATAAAATAACACTGTATATTGTAGAGTCTCCATTTTATAAATAATTCAATAAAATTAATTGTGGTTTATATGCTATTATAAACTCTATTTAAGTTTGCCTAAATCTTACACAGTCACAGGTATTAAAAACACATTCAAATGAAAATCTTTCACTTTATTTTAAGGGTAAACTTTGCGATGACCCCAAAAATCACGTTCTGAAACCGTGGTCCTGATCAACTATAATCCTAACTTGACTCTGCTGATCCTGCGATGTGATGTTCACACATTGCAATATCAATGCTGAAACGATTTATTGTGCAGCCCTAATATACACTGTAATTATTTTTCAAGAGCCATGAAAAGGCCTCGTTGTGGAGTGGCTGATCATTTTGAGGAGTCATCAGAGGGAGCTGCTCGGCGGAAGCGCTTTGCACTTACTGGCCACAAGTGGAATCAAAACAACCTGACCTACAGGTAAATTACACCTAGATACAAAACAAGCTCAAATTACATTCAACACATTAACCACAAAAAAACTATTCCTTATTTCCTGAAGCATCCAAAACCACTCGCCCAAAGTTGGCCAGCAGCAAACCTATGAGGCCATTCGTAAAGCCTTCCGTGTCTGGGAGAAAGTTACGCCTTTGCAGTTTGAGGAGGTTCCATATCACAAGATTAAGAATGGCAGTGAAGGGCCCGACATTATACTACTGTTTGCCTCCGGCTATCATGGAGACATGTCTCTCTTTGATGGAGAAGGAGGATCTCTGGCTCATGCTTTCTTCCCAGGGCCTGGAATGGGGGGAGACACACATTTCGACACAGACGAGCCCTGGACCTTGAACCAACAGGAGGGATCAGGTGTGAGCAATTTACTGCAATCTCTTTCCTACTTCAAAGTAAATTCCTGTTTTCTGCTTTATATCAGTATAGCATTTACTTTGTAGTGTGGATGTTAGCAGATTTAGGTGTCTAAAAGTCATTTATTTAGTCAAGCTGAAGTTCCTTTTCATTGATCTTGATTTTTTTCATGGCTGTTTATTGTTGTTTTTTAGGACTGGAAGATTCTGATACTGATTTCTGATATCTAACTCTCTCGTTCTATCTCTCTAACATAGTTTTAGTTAGAAACTATGTGTATACAACACATTTTATTTGCTTTATTATTTTATTTGCTGAACTATTAACACATTTAACCACTTGGGGTTTTTACAAGACTTTTGAAGTTACAGTGTTTAAATGAATATGTTATGCAATGTCACCCTGTTTAAATGAATGTAATGTGATTTTCTTGATTTATGTGTGGTTGTAGGTGTGGATTTGTTTTTGGTGGCAGTTCATGAGTTGGGTCATGCTCTGGGGTTGGAGCACTCCAACAACCCCTCTGCCATCATGGCACCTTTCTACCAGTGGATGGACACTGAAAGCTTCGCACTGGCAGATGATGATATTAATGGAATTCACCAGATCTATGGTAAGCTTGTCTAAGATGTGATTTCAGATCATTTGGCCTAATATCTGCTGTATTTGCAGAAAGAGTCAGTGTTTTTATGTTAATTGATTAAGTCAGGGTCACCAATCTCGGTCCTGGAGGGCCGGTGTCCCTGCAGGGTTTAGCTCCAACTTGCTTAAACACGCCTGTCTGGATGATTTAAGTATACCAAGTAAGAGCTTGATTAGCTTGTTCAGGTGTGTTTGATTAGGGCTGGAGCTAAAATCTGCAGGACACCGGCCCTCCAGGAACAAGTTTGGTGACCACTTTGTTAAGTGAATAATTCAATGATTCATTCATTAAGACAGTCACTTGTTTCATTCCTGAATTAATCAAGTGTTCTTTTGATGAATTGGTTAAGTAAATAATTTTGCCAGGGTCGAGGGTGGGGAAAAGGAGCGAGGACTCAATTTCAGGGAAAAATAGGTTTTCATTCATAATAAAATAAAATGCAAAACAAATCCTCCCGAGGGGGAAAACCTAAACAAAACAAAACTAGACTTATTAACACAAACAGGTGAACATAATTAACTAATAATGGGTTAACAAAGTTAAATTCATTCATTAAGACAGTCACTTGTTTTATTCCCGAATGAATCAAGTGTTCTTTCAATAAATTGGGATTTTTTAATTTTGGGATAAAGTTAATTTTTGGCAAAGTAATTTTTTAGTTTCTTGAATTCTAGAAGTGTTCTTTTAATGAATTATTTTATAATAGTCACTTTCCATTCCTTTTTAATGAACTGCCTACGTGAATAATTCAATGGTTCACTCATTATGTCAGCTGCTTATTTTGTTCCTAAAAGATTCTAATGTTGTCTTAATAAATTTTTCAAGTGAATATTAAAACCATTCACTCATTAGGACAGTCGCTTCCTTAATTTTTGTATGAATCAAGTCTTTTTTTGTGAATGAAGTGGTTAAGTAAATAGTTTATTGATCCACTTGTTTTGTCGTCATACAAATCAATGTTACTAGTAAATCATTTTAGTGAATCATTCACTTGATTCATTCATTCTATCATTCTTTCCTTTTTCTTCGGTTTTGTCACTTATTTATCAGGGGGTCGCTACAGCAGAATAAACCACCAACTATTCCAGCATATGTTTTACGCAGTGGATGCCCTTCCAACCGCAAATTAAATACTGGGAAACACTCATACACACTTATTCACACACACTATGATATGTCTTTGAAAAAGCTGGGACTTAAACCAGCAACCTTTTTGCTGTGAGGCGACCAGTGTTGCCAGATATAGCTGACTTTTCCTAACGCAAAAGCTGTCCAAAACCCGCCCACACGTACAAAAAAATGCCCAAAAGTCACAGAACCACAAGATATCCGGATCACATTGACACACTGCCCTCTCACCCACACAGATTAGTGTAGATTACACTACCTATTAGAGCAGGGGTGTCAAACTCAATTCCTGAAGGGCCGCAGCCCTGCACAGTTTAGTGCCAACCCTGCTTCAACATACTTATCTGTAGGTTTTAAACAAGCCTAAAGGACTCAGTAGCCGCAGTTTCACTATCACGCCTAAAGCGAGCGAGCGAGCCTAGGCCAGTCGCGTTTCCACTGTCACTTCCGGGGCCTAATCGGGCCAAATCGGGGGTTTCTCAGGGCCAGCGGCCGGCCTTTTTCGGCCCGCCGAATACCTTGGGCCAAAGAGGGCCAGCTAGAGCTTCGGGGCGGAGTGAAAGGAGAGGCGGGCACAGTTTTGCGATCGCACATGAGTACATGCGCCAAACAAATAAATAAATAAATAAATAAGGTAAAAAAAACATCTAGCCTTATGGGGTCTTTTTGCGTAAGATCGCCCTTACGTTTCCCTTTTAAATGTAAGGGTGTTGCATAAAATAATAAAGTAGTTTTAATTTATAGTGACATTCTTTGCTGCGTCCTCCTTGATGTTTCAATAACGCATAATAATCTTTACACCATATTAAAGACACAGCAAACAGTAAAGGTAAAGGTGAGTTATTGTCAAGTTTAAAAGGTGTATTTTTGCATGTTTAAATGCCTGTATGTGTGCGAGACTGAGAAAAGAGCGCTCTCTTCACAGCTCTGTTGATGCCGCGAGTGGCTTTTTAAAAATTATTTTGGAGATTATACACAACATGAATACATCAGCAAGACATAAAACTTAACAAATTACGTGCACACTTTAGTAGACTTTAAACTATAGTTTCATATCTTGATAAAATAGCCTAAGCTATATTGAAATAAAATTTAAAGAATAACAAATATTGGATATAATAAAATCGCATTCAATAAATAAACCAATATAAAATAAACAAAAGCTAGCTAGAACAATGTAGGCAGCCTATATACAATACATAAATCAAACCGTTTTAAAGCCACATACAACTTTCATTTTACATAGACCTATCTGAAAAGAAAGATTTTAGATATTTTCAAAAAACAACAAACACCGGAGAAGGTTTAAAATATTATTTATAAAGTATTTGCATACGATGATATTAATCAAATCGTACAAAAAGAGCATTTTTTGGGAAATGAAAAAAGTGAAAGCGGAATCTAGCTTTTTTTTTTCTGTCACCCAGTCCTGCGCAGCGCCGATTTAAATACATTGGGGAAAAGTCCAAACACAAAATGTGTTCTATATCCTCAAGCAAGTGTTTGTTTTTTATGACGTGGTCAAATTTATAAATGAAACTTTAAATGTAGAGCTTTAGTGAATAGCTGCTGAGCGCAACAAATATGACTATATTTTATTAGGCTATTTGCTCTTATGTGCTGAAACGCTTAACACGACGTCTATCAAAACAAGGATGTTATAAAATACATTTCATACCGAGTTTTAACGAAGAATTTCTGTGGCTTTATATTATTTCTGTGGATGGTGCGCTTAATGCGCTGGGTCCCTCCGTGGCGAGAGCACTTCATGCACAATGCCAACAGACATATAATGTACAGACATATTACATTATATAGACATATAATGTACTGCTGTAGAGTAACGTGGCATTTGTCTGTTTCGGTTGTCTTCATTTTAATGGTTTTGTTTCGTGATGATTCCATGGTGTGTTTTATCTGCCTGATTCCCGCTGAAGTGGGCGGGTTGTGTGACGTTTGATTCGGGGGACGTTCTGGGGGCCGTGTTTGCGTGACTCACTGCAAGCTACTAGCCCAACAGTGGCAACGCAGCATGACTTTGGCCTCATTACTCAACCTACCGGGCGATTGGCCCGGCCTGATAAAAGCCCTGGCTCGCACTGGCCCGAAAGTTAGTTTAGAAAGTTAGTTTGATCAGGTGTGTTTAATTAGGCTTGGAACTAAACTGCAGAGTTGCAGCCCTCCAGGAACTGAGTTTGACACCCCTGTATTAGAGTATGATTTACTTTCGAAACGTGGTATAAATTCGTTCTATTTGGTATTAAAGACTCATATTAAAGACTTTTGAACATAATTCTTCCATGTTTGTTCTGGCTGTCAAAAAATGTTCGATAAAAGTGTCTTGATAAACTGCTGTGTCTTAACTGCAGGTGCTGCGTGATGCACATACACGCGTAGGGGAGTCAGAGTTGTGTGGGGAGTCAGATTTTTATACAACTTTCCTTCACCTTCTTTAGTGGTTGGGCCCACACGGTTTGCGCTATGCACTGGTCACTACTAGCTGAATAGAGTAGGACCACACAGTTATGTTTTGTTAAATAAGTTGCATATAAAATTTATGTGTCAAAACCGCCCAAATTTTGTTAACTCGATAGTGCCAACCTACACAATCAAATTAAAAACCGCCCAATTGTGGCAACACTGCTAACCACTGAGCCACCCTGCCGCCCCATTCATTTGATTGTTGTTTGAAAAATGTCACTTGATTTGTTTATGATTGAATCAGCTCGGTGAAGATTCTGTAGCTGTATTATGAAAGACCACCATAAATAATAACATAAAACCAGATGTGATTCAAACATCCTATTGTTGATAGACCTTTGAAATGGCACGTTATTGTTCAGTGAAAGTGTCTCGATTTGATTTAATTGCTTAAGATTGATGCTTTATGCAAAAACCCAAAAGACTCTTTTGCAATCTGATGCAACTATGCATATCAGTCATTATCCGGCTGTTTCTTTAAGTGTTGTCACATTTACGATACATTTGTTATCCTCACTGTGCAGTTGTGTAACTTCCCAGTCTCCAGACCAGCTGCATTGAGATCAGCACCACTGAATTTCTCACTGTGTCTCTTTGTCTGAGTCTGTTTTCTCCATTTGAAAGCCGTCCATTGCTGGCTGAATGAGCCTCATGGGCCTTCTGGTGCTGGATGGAAAAGAGTGACACGTTCTGTGTCTGTGCAGTGTGTGTGGAACAGAGCATGATTAGCTAAGTGTGAAAATGCATTATGGTTTGGTATGTGCAGGATCTCCAGAGACTGTCACCACTCAAGCAGCTCCCACCACCACCCTGTTTACAACCACTGCCAAGCCAGAGCCCACCACCACAGAGGCTCAGCCGAAAACAACCAGACCTTCACTGCAGCCCACCAGGCCTTGGGTGCCTCCTGTCAATCCCACCAGGAGGACCTATAGACCCCAGCCCACCAGCCGCTCCAATCAGGATGCACCTGACATCTGCGAGGGCAACTTCGACACGGTGACCATGCTGAGAGGAGAAATGTTTGTATTCAAGGTTAGAAAGAAGCATCATATATATATATTATCATTATATATGTTATCATTAAGCCTTTCCCCTCCTATGTAGATGACAGGGTTTCTGTGTGGTCTTAAATTTTTAATGTCTTTAATCTTAAAATCTAAATTTTAGGCCTTAAGTTTTACATTTATTGAAATGTTTTGTTGTAGGTTTTAAATCATTTTAAACAGGTCTTATTTTTCCTTTATGTATTGCTACCCAATCTGGCCAAAATCCATACAATCACCAACAATCCATGTCAATAAAACTTTTTTATCCTAAAAGGTAATTTTAACTCTAATTATCATAATTAATTATTTTCCGTACAATAAAATTTGATTAAAAGTGCTTTATGTATTTGCTGCTGAGGACACCGACCTGGACAGATTGTTGTGCATAGATTTAGTTTATTATAGTTTTTAATTTTTATAAAACATTTGTTAATTTTTTTAATTTAATTTTAAAGAAAGTTTTTGTTGTTAAAAAGTATATGGATACAAGTAGAGCTTGCTTGTTTTTACACAATATTTGAAAATATTTTGCTAAGAAGAAATATCTAAAATATTAAAATGTTTTTTTATTATTTATATATAATTGTACTATTAGATATTTTTTCAACTATAATATATTGTTCGGATAGGACAAATCAAACTCTTTCCATCTGGAACATTTGAAAAATTCCTTAGCCTTTAGCCCTTTATGAGTCTAAAATTTCATTCATAATGGTCTTAAAAAGTCTTAAATTTAACTTGGTGAAAACTGCAGAAACCCTGGATGAGCAGATGGTAGTTGCCACAATTGAAGATCCAAAGTTCTTATTAAGCCCCGGTCAGATCACATGACTTTATTGTAAGTTACAAAAGTCATTGTCAGATTATGCATTTTTTTGTTTTTTTTCTTAATAAAATCTTGACTTGATCAAACTTACAATTCCCTTTTAATATGAAGATATTTTCTTTAAAATCTAAATGTACATTTTCCTGCCATGGATTGCTTATTAAACAATCCCTCGCCTGAACTTGTTGCGAGTGAGAGAGAGAAAATGAAATCACACCAGCACCAAGGAAAAATCAGTTGCTCGAGACATAATCTTTAAATTAATGACATATTAAAAAAATTTCAAATATATAACTGAGGTTCGTGATACAATCACAGTGAATCATTGTTTTTTTTTTTCCTCAGAGTGAAAAAAATCATCCACCCGTATAGTTGAGTAGTGGAGGGGCACAAACAAAAATATAATTTGTATATTTTTCATGGAAAAAAAAATACTTTTAAACCAAATTTCGTTTGCTATTATTTTGATATTAATTAATCTTTTATTGGTGAGTTGTCTATAAACAAGGATAACGAATAACATTTGAGTTGAAGCACTTCAAAAACATGTCTGCTCTATGCTTCATCGCCAAAACATGAATTGCCGTGAGATTGTGTTAGCTTGCTAAATAAAATAATAATCTAGCCCGAATAAAATGAAAGTGAAATATACACCGTTTTAGAGAAGCTTTTTATTAATCTATTTTAATGACAAATTTAAATAAGCAGAAAATGCTTTTGCAATGTATTTGCAGCACTGAACATGTTCACCTCAGAAGAACCAATGTTTTTATACAGTCAGAATCTTTTACCGGTCCATGCCTACCCGTGACCCACCCATAAGTAAATATCAAGCCTATTTTTATTACCTGACCAGAGCATTAACGGCATCATCCGCTGAGATAACCGAGAAATGATGTGCTTCTATTGCAAAGTGTCACCCACAAGACAGAACTAAAAAAATTAAATAAAAAATTAAGCATGCTAGATTTTCTGCAATGGTGTCAACAGGCATCGCAGACATTGTATCAGTTGTCATAACCTCTGCCATATTACATAAGGAAACAATTAAATCTTGTGTCACGGTGCCTATTTTTCGCTTACGAATCCTCACAACTGAAATCGTGACAGCGACAGGTCTTCTCCCTTTCAAATTAATCTTATTATTCTTGTTATATTTAAAACATTGGGACAAGGACAATGTCACATTGGCAGCTGTATTTGTAAGGCAATTAACAGTTCTGCTTGTTTGTCTGGTTAGCAACATTAACTATGGTGGGGCGGGGCTTACTGATATATTAAAACAACCCACAACTGCTAAAAACAACAAAGAATGTCTTAGGAGCTGCAGAGTAAAGTGATAAAAATGTGTGTTTATCAGGGTCGCTGGTTCTGGAGGGTTCGGAGAAACCGTGTTCTGGATAATTACCCAATGCCCATCTCCTTCTTCTGGATGGGACTTCCAGAGGACATAGATGCGGCCTATGAACGACATGATGGGAAATTTGTATTCTTTAAAGGTCTTGTGTATATATATATTTTTTTCTTATATATTTTTTATGTTTAAATGTTTTATCTTTTTATTAGTTTGATTACTAAATAATGGTAATTATTAATAGATTTATTATTATTATTATCATCATTATTTTTATTATTATTATTTAAAAATGTCTATTGTTGATTGGATAAAATAGTAAAATATGTGATTTTTGTTTGTTTGATTGTTTGTTTGTTTGTATTGAAGCTGTTTTATGATCCAAAAAAACTGGCATGTGCATCTTGTTCATTTGAGTATGATAGACTATGACATCTTTAAATATGACACAACACGAAAATAATAGAATATTTCCTAGATATCAATCTTCTTCTCCTTTTAAACATCTGTTTCTCTTGCTGTAAGTCAAATTATGTCACTTGTAAAACACTCGGAGGGAAAGAAAGAAAGTCTGGCAGCATCTCAGCACTTCGCCTGTATTGCGTCAGTCTCAGCTCCAGATGCTGACTGCTCTGTTTTCACTTTGACACAAGAAACCTGGAGAATCTGCCTTAGGAAATGTTTAGTAAAAAGAGCTACAGTTATTGTCTTGTTGTTTATGTATACTCATAGTCAAAAAGTTGGGATCGGTTAAATATTTAAAAGTTTTTCTAAAAAAAAAAAAAAGAGAAGTATAATCGGCTTATAGGGCTGGGCGATTAATCGGAATGTAATCGAATTCAACATTTAGAAGCTATAGTCGATCTCATTTTTCCTGGACAATATTCTCAATTACTTTCCCTACTGCGTGTAGAGTCATGTGACCCAGCAACATTAAGGCCGATTTATACTTTTGCAGCCACATCTGATCTCTGGCCAAGTAGGACAATGAACCCATCCTTGAGCCTTGCTTTGCACTAGATTGATTAGAAGCTGCGCCAGTGATGGCTTAAGATGGCATATTTTCTGTTAAATTAAAATGATTGTTTACATTTTAAATATTTGTTTACAAAAGATGGAAGAAATGCACCGTTTAAAATATTATTTACAGGATATGCAAGAGTTATCGTTTCCAATTATTTTAAAATCAAGTAATGCTCCCTTTATTCAAACATTTCTCAATTTACAAAACTTGTCAGTGAACTATGAGTGCAAAACAATAAAATAATTCAATGGAATAATCGTTCATTAAGTTAATTTTCAATTAATTAGGATTTTAATTTTAGGCCAAATTGGCTAGCCCTATCTGCTTATCAAGAATGTATTTATTAAATTAAAAATATATAGTAAAAACTACAATTGTGAAATGTTATTACAGTTTAAGTTGCCGGCAGCTATCTCTCTGCAACGCTCACATGTTTACCACTCTTCACCACTGAAGCCTAGCAGGGCTGCGCCTGGTCAGTACTTCACCATACGGAAGTATATGTGACAAATAAAGGCTTTATTGATTGATGGGAGACCACATGGGGAAGCTTGGTTGCTGCCGGAAGTGGTGTAAGTGAGGCCAACAGACCTGTGGTCTGTGTGGGTCCTAATACCCCAGTATATTGATGAACTCTATACTGCTCAGTGAGCGCCATCTCTCGGATGAGATGAGGACCTGATTCTTTGTGGTCGTTAAAACTCCCAGAAAGTTCATCAAAAAAAGAGTAGGGGTCTAACCCAGGCATCCTGGCCAAGTTTGCCCACTGGCCTCTGTCTATCATGGCCTCCTAACCATCCCTATATCATAATTAAGATGTCTCCTCTCCACCAATCAGCTGGTGTGTGGTGTGCGGCCTGGTGCAATATGGCTGTTGTCGCGTCATTTAGGTGGATGCTGCACACTGGTGGTGGATAAGGAGATTCCCCCTATTGTGTAAAGCACTATATAGATGTAAGAAATTATTATTATTATTATTATTATTATTATTATTATTATTATTATTAAGCTAACTACAGTTGAAGTCAGAATAATTAGCCCCCCTGAATTATTCTCCCCCGTTTATTTTTTTACCAACTCATTTCTAATAACTGGTTTATTTTATCTTTGCTATGATGACTGTAAATAATATTTCTCTAGATATTTTTCAAGACACTTCTATACAGCTTAAAGTGACATTTGAAGGCTTAAGTAGGTTAATTAGGTAAACTAGGCAGATTAGGATAATTAGGCAAGTTATTGTATAACAATGGTTTGTTCTGTAGACTATAGAAAAAAATATATAGCTGAAAGGGCTAATAATTTTGACCTTAAATTGACTTTTAATTAAATTTTATTAAATTTAAAATTAAAACTGCTTTAATTCTAGCCAAAATAAAACAAATAAGACTACATAATAGACATACATGATATTATTAGACTTTTTTAGTTAGTGCTGAACAAATTTATTGGATGTAAATCTTGCCCTTGATTAAATTAAGTTCATGCAATGAGTAATTTTTTAAATGCAGTTAGAAAACATAAAAACTGTTTTAACTATGTCAGTTCAAGCGGTCTATTTAAAAACACAAAAAAATCTCACTCAAACTTTTGACTAGTAGTGTAGATTACATTCATTTCTGCTTTCGTGCTGCACAAAACATCTTTTGTGTATGTGAATAATGGAACAGAGAGCGCAATGATATCATCTCTCAGCCATGCAAGTCTTTCCCCACTAATATAGTTTTCTTTGTGTAACTATCACTCCTTCAGGAAGTAAATACTGGCTCTTTAGAGAAGCAGACGTGGAGCCCGGGTACCCTCAGGACTTGTTTCGTTATGGTCAAGGCATGCCTGAAAGAGTGGACACGGCCGTGTGGTGGGAGCCATCTGGATATACGTACTTCTTCAGAGGAGACAGGTAAACAATACTGGGGCCCTCGCTGAAAAGACCAGATGTGTGAAGTGCTTGAGAATTTGCCATCAGAACAACATAAACAACGAGGGTTACTTGGATCTGGGAATTAAAATTGAAGAAAATTTGTGTCAGTAGGTCATTTGTCTATGAGACACAAATGAAGTGATTGTTTTAATGAGTGAATTATTGAACTATTCATCTAACGAGTTCATTAAAATAACACTTGACTCTTTTGGGAACGAAACAAGTGACTGACTTAATGAGGGAATCATTGAATTATTCACTTAACCAATTTCATTTAAAGACCACTTGATTCATTTAGGACTATAAAAAGGCTACGTTCACACTGCAGGCTAATGTAGCCAAAATCTTTTTTTTTTTGCCCACATGTGACTGTTTTTTTTTCTTGACAGTGTGAACGGTCCAAACCGCATGGAATCTGATCTTTTCAGTTCAGATTTGTGCCACTTCATATGTAGTATTAAATCAGACACAGATCTGATATTTTGCAAGGCGACCGCAATGTTAACGGTTATGTAGAATTTCATGTGACTTTAACATAATCTTTGAGCGACATGTGTCATCATTCTGTGCTGCAAACATCATCTACTCCTCAGCAACATAGTAGAATGGGACACAGGGTGATTACTTTACTTTGCCGTAATGAGTGAATCATTGAATTATTCACTTAACCAATTCAGTAAAAGAACTCTCAATTCATTTAGGCACTAAATAAGTGACTTTCTTAGTGCAAATCATTGAATTATTAAATATGTTTAATTATTGGATTACTTTATAATTGTCTAAATGATAATTGCAATAATATCTATAACTTTTTCCCTTCCTAATTTTGTCTTCGTTTCACATAAAACGTAACTTTTTAACATCAGAAATCAGAGAAAATGTAAGAAATATTGTTTAAGTTTATCTTTTTTATATTTTTGTAATGTGAGTTTCTTGTTTTTATAGAATTGTCAGTCTCAGAGTTTATAGTGTCTCAGAATTCAGATTTTACATCTTGCAATTCTAACAGTCTTTAGCTTAGAAAATGAGATATAAACTCAAGATCCAAGTCAAAATGGATTCATACAAAGTTGAAAATATTTAGAAATTGGAACTTCATTTAATGTAATTATAATGAATCACAATTTACAGAAAAAGATTTGCAAGATGTAAATTTTGAGGAAAAAACAGTTCTAATTGGATATTAAGATACTATCTTGGATACTATCTTATTTAATCTCAATAGTTTTTGATGCAAAATTTTGAGATCAATATCAATATATTACACCTAAAAATCTGATTTTAATGTTGAATTTAAGTACCAGAGGTATCCCATTAAATACTATATTCTCCATTACTTTATTATTTTTATTTTGTAATGAAGTTTTAGTTTTATTTCATACAAACTTTTAGTTATTTAGTATGCTTATCTATAATAAAATAGACTTTTACTTTTGCACTTTAAGAACAAAATGAATGGGATAATGTGAATGTCAATTACACAAAAGCACAATTAAAAAAAATTATAATAATTATAACTTAATTGTAATTTAGCATAAGGAAAGTATATCATACGTTATATATTATATATGGAAAAATATGTAAGTAGCTATTTTGTACACTAAATGACACGTTATTTGTCAAATAAAGCCAGTTTGTGTTGGCATTAGGTGAAAACTAAAATTATGCTTTTTTTTTTCCATAACTGCTTTCTTTTGAAGATATTGGCGGTTTAGTGAAGAATCTCGTGCCATGGATAAAGATTATCCTAAACCAGTGAGTGTGTGGGGCTCCATTCCTGTTTCCCCAAAAGGGGCCTTCCTCAGCGATGATGGAGGTGAGTCAAGCTGCCTGAGAAAATTACTAGAAAAAAAGAGAGTCAAGTCCATTAATCCAAAACTGGTTGGGAAAATGTGACCTCACTGCTAAAAAACTGGAGCGCAATCAGACCTTTGACTTGAAAATGTTCTGCTCTCACTTCTAATTTCACGCCATTGTTCACAGTTGTCTCTGGCACGTCTTTTTATAGCCGTGGAATTCAGAGACCGCCTGTGATTGGCTAGAACCTCTTTTGATCAAAGATTTGGCGACGATGACATGGAATCTTACTCATATTAGTCACTGCTGTGTTTTCATTTACACTCACTGGCATTTGAACTCTTTCCCACACAGCTTACACGTACTTCTACAAAGGCACCAAATACTGGAGGTTTGACAACAAGCGAATGAAGGTTGACTCTGGATACCCGAGATCCATTTTAAATGACTTCATGGGATGCCGAGTACACTTTGATGTAGAACCGGAGATCTATCCTGACCACCAATCGCCTGATATGACTGACAACAATCCAGACCCCGAGGACTACAAAAATGGCGTAGACGAAGAAGACCCAGAAGATGATGACGTGGATGAGAAAAAGGAAGTAGACGTTATTCTGAGAGTGAATGACAATGATAAACACATCATGACACTCATCTTGGTGATTGTGCCTTTGGTTTTGGTTCTGTGCATTCTGGGAGTGATCTATGTCATTATCACCACACTACAGAGAAAAGAGACACCCAAAGTGTTAGTTCACTGCAAAAGGTCTTTGCAGCAGTGGGTCTGACAGCAGTCACACTCCTAAATATTTCCGCACATACGTTTTCTACGAGACACACACCTTGTCGTTTGATTGTTCCTGGTGCTCATTCAATCAATCTCCCTGTTCCCAAAGTAGAAATTGCACTTTTTATAGTTTTACAATTGTTTGCTTGTGATGTTGCGAGTGATTTGTCTGTCTGTGAGGTTTTTATGTTTTCCTTTTGAGCCTGGTCACTGACCCTGTGTCCAAATAGACCTACTTCTAGACTATGTAGTAGGTGAAACTTCACGTGAGCCAAGTAGTATTTCCAAATTCATAGTACAAGTAGGTGAAAAGAAGGAGGACAACCAACTGCTTCCGATAATATTTTGACCTGCACATCCACTGGTCACTTCAATGAGGCCTTGCTGTAGGTGACATGACAGTGACACGTCTCATACTACACTTTTATCAGGTACACTAGTTCAACTGCTTGTGAACTAATATCTCATTACTACAATCTCTACTACATTGCTGCATTTAGGCATGGCTAAGATGATTTGCTGAAGAATCAAGAGAATGACTTCACCCGAGGCATGATTGTTGGTGTCAGATGGGCTGATTTGAGTATTCGGAAACTGCTGATTTACTACCATTTTAACACAGAACCATCTCTATGGGTTAATGGGGATGGTCTTGTCTGAAAAAGAGATTTTATCCGCTTAATAGCAGTTCTGTTGGTACAAATGCCAAAGTTTAGGGGAGAATGGCTAGACAGGTTGCAGAAAAGCATCTCTGAATGTATAACACATTTAAATGTGAAGCAGATGAGCTACAGGATAAGAAGAGCACACCGGTAACAGTTCTGTCAGCTTAGAGCAGCAAGCTTGAGCTACAATTAAAACGGACTAATCAAAGTTGGTCAATAGAAGATTGGAGCCTTGTCTCCATTTCTGCTGCAACATTTGGTTGGTATGAACAGAATGTGGTGTAAACAACATCTGAGCAAGAATCCATCCTGCTTTTTAAATGTTTGGCAAAAGAAGGATACTTCCTGCAGGACAAACACCATGTCATAGAGCTCAGATGATTTCAAACTGGTTTCTTAAACAAATGGCCTTCACGATCACCTGAGAACAGCTCAACAAAGCAGCTTTGGTATGTGCTGGAACAGGAGATTCATAACATGGATGTGCTGCTGACAAATCTGCTGAAACTGTGTGAAGGATTTCATGTCAATATGGACCAAAATCTCTTAAGAAATTTCCAGTTTCTAAGACTTAAAGCCTTGTGCACCTTGGGATTTTTATTGCTCTCACTTATTGTTTCAAGATCGCTAATGCCCAAGCAATTTTTACTGGTGATGAGCCAAGCAAAAGTTCAAATTCACTCCCTGACCTTAGATGGAGGTTAAAGGTGCAGTATGTACAATTGACACCTAGAAGTTGAACTAGGTATTGCAGTCCAGATTAAAAAAGATGCATAGTGTTTCTTTTTCACTCCGCCTGCCAACAACGACTTGCACACATAGGTTGCCAGACTGACAACACCAACAGTAGCAAGTGCGTCTAATAATCTAGCATTACACTGTAAACTGATTAGCAAATGTGTACATGTGTGATATTTGTATTGCAAATTAATAACCACCACATGTGGATTTTTAAATCTGAATCAGTGTCTCTTATCAGAGGTTGCTGCTGTCCTCTGGAGGTCACATTATCGGCTGTGACTGCATATTAAGGCAGCCTTCAAGACTGAAATGAAATACGCTGTTTTCCGCCAAGGCAACACAGGAGGCCGAAATATAATTGGGTAAACTGGCAGTGTACAGAGATAGCAAAACAAAGACAGACGTTCAGACACAGAACACTGATTTTTTTAAGGAAAAGAACTATCTTTAACAATGTTTTTCAGGTAAACAAGCATATTCAGTAGGCATGTTTATTAAATATCTGCAAACATATCATGGTATTGTTATGCTTTAGAGGAGTCAATTACTTACATAATGCACCTTTAATGAAAAAGCAGAAGGACCCCGGTACACAAGGTGACACTGGGTTGAGAATCGGCACCTCCAAGTCTGAGGCCATGGTGCTCCACCGGAAAAAAGGTGGTTTGCCAAAGGTGGCTTGGTGGAGGAGTTTAAATATCTTTGGGTTTTGTTCACAAGTGAGGGAAGGATGGAACGTGAGATTGACAGGCAGATTGGTGCAGCGGCAGCAGTGATGCGATCGATGTACCAGTCCTATGTTGTAAAAAAGGAGCTGAGCCGAAAGGCAATCTACGTTCCTACTCTTATCTATGGTCATCAGCTTTCGGTCATGACCAAAAGGACAAGATCTTGGATACAAGCGGCCAAAATGAGTTTCCTTCGTAGGGTGGCAGGGCGCACCCTTATGGATAGGATGAGGAGCTCTGTCACTCGGGAGGAGCTCAGAGTATAGCCACTGCTCCTCCACACCGAGAGAAGTCAGCTGAGGTGGCTAAGGCATCTGCTTTGGATGCCTCCTGAGCACCTACCTAGGAAGGTGTTTCAGGCATGGCCCACCGGCAGGAGGCAGGAAGAGCCGTAGAAAATAAATGAATGAATGATAGTTGCTATCAAATTCTTTTTGATATGCAATTCCTTTTGTGCTAGGCTAGATCCTTGTGTGCTTTAGTGCCACCAAATTGTGTTTTACCATAATTTCAGTAGCTCAAGGCCTGTGAACAAATGAACCAATCTCATTGTACGGCCAGTTTTTAACGCAGAACGTCAAACCAAAATAAATTAGCCTGAGATGTTTTTTAAAGGACACTTTGATTCCTGGTGTTTTGCGCATAGGTGTGCAGTGCACACTCACATTAGCACCCTTTGTTTACTCACAAGCCATTAAACATCCGCGATAAACTCCTGCAATATTCATCCTGGTGTGCGTGAGCGTTAAGTATTTTTTTATGGCAAAGTGGTCCAATTCGGTACTAACAAAATGTACCTAATAAAGTAGCTGGTGAGAGTATAAAGAGCAGATTTTTGGAACGGTCATCAATGGTGATTTCAGACAATGTGAGGGAAATGTTGGATGTACGAAAACAAGCCCAGATCAGCACATTTCTTTACATCCTTTGCTAACCGGCCTCAATGATAGAGGAAACCACAAACTCCATGTCGAGGTCTTGCTGAGAGTGCAGGGTTAAAAGAAAGTCGGGCTTAATAAATTGTCCTAGGCACATTTAGCTGGGTTTATAGTCTCTTCCCTGTGGAGCCTGGCTTGCATTACACAGATGTTGCTGATTTTGGACTTTATGGAGAGAAACAGAGGGGGAAGGGGGTTTGTAGTCTGCCAGCATTTCCTCTGCCTGAGTTCCACTGAGTGAGCGAGAGGAGGGGGAAGAGTTTTGAGGCGTAGTCGTACTGTCATCGTGACCTACATTAGTGCACCCCCTACTACTTTCTCCCCCCTCATATTTGTCTTCCTGTGGGACTTTGTTTTTCTCGCTGCACTTCCAGTTTTGTTTTTGAGAGCCATTCCTGGCCTCGTCCGTCAGTGCCTTTCAAGACTGAATCTGTGCCTTAATAGTGCAGACCATCACCACTGTGTTGGAAATGTACTTGATTTTCACTTTTTGCAGCATTCGCACGGATTTGAGAGAAACAAGCAAATGTTTGCTGATGTGGCCTTTCGTGATTTAAACCTGTGTCATTTCTGTTTGTATTTTGTGTCAATATGAATGTGCTTTTTGTAGTGCTGATGAAAAACTCATCCTTGAATATTGATGTGTTGATTTGCATTGTTTTATATTAACAATCGAGTAAATCATGCAGGGCATGTATTGCTTTTGTTCACAGATATTATCTGGTATATAGCTTGCTCACAATAAAATGGAGTATCTGAATGTAAGCATCCCTTTAATTTTGAACTTCCTTTGCTGATTCTGCACTTCCTTTGTTTGAGCACAATAACACTTTTAATTATATGACGTGCGCTTTTATTCTAAGCATATCGGTTACTGTATGCTGGTGTTGTGTAAAAGATTTCTTCCTGCTATTGTGCAGAAAATGCCAAGTGCAGTCGACCACCCATTGATTCTTGTCCATAGTCTTTCCATTTGAAGAAAATCATAAAATGCTGACAAATCCTGTGTACTTTGTATATATTCATACTTTATAATTAATATTTTATGCAGAGATAGTCATGCTTGAACTGTTACTGTCATGTTTTAAATGATTTTTTTTAACTTAAATTGATCACAAAGCTGCTACCATTAAGATACCATTTAAGACTACACTTGCTAATGAGCCTGCTAATTAAATGAATGTCCTTTGCAAAATTATATTTTTATGTACAATGTTTTTGCTTGATTTGGCATGAAGCCGTTATCTTAGTTATGCCTTAGTAAACTAGCTTAGCATATGTTAGCTTGTTTGGCAGTTTTCAACTTTATGCTCTTTGCAAATTTTCAAATATGTTTTTAACATGATATTACTTTTTGTGTGATGAGGTACAACAACTACACCAGTTATCCATTTTGTATACTTTAAGGGATGCTCCGATCTGGGTTTTTTCAGCCGATACGGAGTTCTGATTCCTCGTCATGGTGGTCGGCCGATACGGAGTACTGATTCTTTGTCATGGTGATTGGTTGATACCGAGTACTGATTCCTTGTCATGGTGATCGGCGGATACCGAGTACTGATTCCTTGTCATGGTGATCAGCCGATACCAAGTACTGATTCCTTGTCATGGTGTTCGGCCGATACAGAGTACTGATTCCTTGTAATGGTGATCGGCCGACACCGAGTACTGACCCCTTGTCATGGTGATTGGCCGATACCGAGTACTGACCCCTTGTCATGGTGATCGGCCGATACCGAGTACTGACCCCTTGTCATGGTGATTGGCCGATACCGAGTACTGATTCCTTGTCGTGGTGATTGGCCGATACTGTGTACTGTTTCCTTGTCATGGTGATCGGCCGATACCGAGTACTGATTCTTTGTCATGGTGATCGGCCGATACAGAGTACTGATTCCTTCTCATGGTGATCGGCCGATACCGAGTACTGATTCCTTGTCATGGTGATTGGCCGATACCGAGTACTGATTCCTTGCCATGGTGATCGACCGATACCGAATACTTATTCTAATGCTTCAAGCTTTAGAATGTATAATGCACATTTTCTCTCTAAATATGATACTTAAGTGAAAAACTCACCTTACCTAAGTGAATAAATTAAGAATCTTGCATATTATCCCTAAACACATCGCTTTTTACCATTTAGGTAATTTTCGAATGGGTAAGACATACAAATTGATCCGCTCATGTCACAGCAGCTCAAAACAGGGTAAATACAATGGTTGCACTTGCAACAAAGAGACCACCACTCACATGAGTCTCACAAATAAACTGTATAAACAGAGGTCGCACTCAGTGCTTAATTTTTAATCTGTATATATTTTAGCTGTTGTGATGCGAGCACATTGATCATTTACACCCTCATTCATTTACCTCCTCACGAGTAGTGGCTGCTGTAGGCTATTTGTATAATATACAGGAGCACACGTGTGTCTTTCTCTGCTTGTAAGCTCATGAACAATCAGCAATCGGTTCATCAGATTGCCCATATTGGCGAGTACCGATCGAGTCATTAAATGTGATTATTGGCCTATACCGATTTTCGGCCGATCGATCGGAGCATCCCTATTGCTTAGCATTCTATTAACCAGTTAGTCTGTTAGCTTAGCTTATACACAAAATTAATGTATTCATACAACGTGTTAACATTGTTATGATTATCAGTGATCTAGCAAGTGCAGAACGCTAACGGATCCGTTAGCAAAATCCGCCATTTATGGACTACAGGATCCAGTCATGCACAACACACACACAGACACACACACACAGACACACACACACAGAAACAACTTTTTTTTTTTTTTTTGGTTTTCTGGTTTTGTTTGATGCAAAAATACAAATGCGAAAATCTAAGGGTTAGGGTTAGCTACTAATTCAGTAAACTAGCATAGCATTTCACTATCTTATTAGCCAGCAAGCATAGACTATAAAATTTGCACATTATTTAGACATTTTTTTTAATGCGTTAAATATTTCAATTTAATTAGTTGATTATTAACAACTACTCAGCAAGGATTTTATTGAACTAGCTTTACATAATGCTAGTCAATTAGCCTATAGTCTTTGCAAAATTTCTATTGTACATTTTTATATGAACTATTACCAAACATTTGGTTGTTTGATTCTCCCCCTAGTGTCGTAAGTAGATTAATGGCTGGACTTAACCAAAAAAAGATGCTTTTTTTTTAGGTCAGGTGATGTAAATCCAACATCTACCAGCAGTGGCTCACTGGAACAGCAGCCATTTTGGCTCTTTTTACTACACTCATTTGACATCACACCTGTCAAGTGAGGGAAATGCATAATCACCACAGCATACTTAAACATACCAAATTTCTCTGCTTGTATTCAGAATTGAAACGCTTCACAATCCAGAGCAAGCCAGTTACACCCTTTCTCATTTTAATTCCCAAACAAACTCATAGGACCTCCTCTCTTCACTCTCTCCGGCAATATCCTGTTAGAGGATTAGATTAACTCTCTTCTACGCTTCCTCCAATCAAATTCGAGGACTCGATGACGACATGGTAGAGGGTGCTGAAAGAGGCACTCTTCAGGAACTTACCTGAGATCAGTTTATAGTTTACCTGAAAACAGCTGCGGTTTGTGTCTATAAGGCATTAGCTTGCCCTTGATCAGTTGCGTCGGGCCTTCGCTGGTTCAGAGCTTATCCTGCCTTTATCCCATTATTGGATCTGCTGCCGTTTAGCTACTCAGACCTGGCATAGCCATAGCATTGGCTTCTGAAAGCAACAAGTTAGATGCAGTCAATCTCAAAAGTCAATGAATCAATGTAAACTGTCCTACATTTTGTAGGACCTGAATGCAGAGTTCAGGTGCTGTAAGTAGCAAGGCAGTTTAGGTTAATGAATTTAGCATGTAGCGTGAATTAGCGTTCTTTCTGCTGGTTCCTATAACTCTGATTAATTATATCAAACCCAAATCTTACCAGTTGTTGGCAAAACTGTGTTTTCTGTATGATACAAATTCTATCTGAATCTTAGCTAAAGATTTAATCTCACTGCGGGGAACTGAAGATGTAGGCTATCCTGCAATGTGTTTAAATCCCATCTAACACCGCAGTTTAGTCAGCCCTCATACTGGAACTGAGATAATGAACTTTCTATATCATGTGTAGTTCACATGGATCTACTTCCTAATTATTATTAGCTGTATATGCTAATTCGAACTAATTCTTGAACCAGGCCAGTAAGCAAAGCAAGATAATAAAAATGGAAAAAAGTAAATTTTTTGTTAGAGTCAAAACTTTTATGCGTAAATCCTATAAAAACATCTAAACTGAAACTTTACCATTTCCGAATGTAACCATTTTTCTTGACATTAACTGTACCATTCATTGTATCTTGTTAACAGTTCCCATTGTTTTTAAGCATAATCTTCTGAGTGGTAGCACTGTCCTTCAAGATTTAATCCTGTTAGGCCAGTCCTGCCTCAATCCTAATCCTTACAGATTGCTGAAGTCCGCTCTGAATGGTGTCAATCCTCACGGAATGCCCAGCCACTGCTAAGCATTCAGGTAGGAAATTTGTTATTATAATATTTGTTTACCGAGTCAACAGTTTTGCAACATTAGGATGATGGTTTAGCAGTAATTTAAATCCGACAAGTGTTTTAGGATATGACTTGTAGTGGTGTTGTATAGTAATTCTTTCAGCCCTAAACAAATTAAAATTTCTAAAGTTTCTGCGAGTGGACTTGATATACGTAATCAAATACTTTACATTATGGCGATTTAGATGGAGAGGACACATAAAAATATACAGTTTTTCACCATTATTTGACAAAAATAATGTACAAAGGAACAACATTTGTGTCGAATAGTAAAGAATAATGATGTTATAAAATATTTGTCAATTTAGAACTGTTTAATAAAACAATATAGCTGAACCTTTTCAGAATCAGCTATATGTTACATAAGCTTAGCCTAGGCCATAAGCATGTGTTGAGTCCTTGCAAATATTTAAAAAATTTCAAGTTTTAATTGTATTACAAATATGTTGAAAATTCAAAACTATTTTTGTATGGTCACAAGGATTACACAAATCACATTAATTCTATTATATTTTTATTTGAGTCAAATGTTGAATAGTTTGTATTGGCAACTGACTGTTGTTTAACCTTCTTATAGTAAACCAACAGTCGTATATTAGGGGCATTCTACCAGAAACGTACATGATCTCTTCCTGAAATAAAAACGGAAATACAGTGAATAAAACGTATTTCGTCCCAAAACTGGGACTAATGGAGGATTTCTGTGAGTTGTTCTGTAAAGGAATTTGGTTCTGAGAGTTTTGTTCTTTATTAAAAACACTTTACAAATGTACAAACCCTGTCATTGTCCTTGTCCTCAGCCCTATTGAATCTACAGCTTTAATAGTAATGCTAAATACTTTTTAGAAAAAAAATTGTTCAGAAATAGCAGTTTTAAGTTGTTTTTAATCAATTAATGTAAATGATAACATGAAATTCTAAATAAATTCTACAAATAAATACTACAAAAATATATAATACAAATAAATTTATAATTGTGCCCATGCTTCTGTCAGTCCTGTCACATTTGCATTAAATTGAACATAAAATGCGTGCAATACACCTTTAAGGCTATGACTCGAAAGTGACATGAGTGAATTGTATGATTTTATGCTTGTTTATGTATGATTTTTGAGGAAGACTAGCTTAAGTCAGGCCCTGTCACGTTTTTCATAAGTGTAAATGTACGTTTCAGGTAGAATGTCGTTTTAAATTTTTTGCTAATT